GTGGCTGCGATTTGCTGCTGCGCTGCTGCAGCAGCAGCAGATGGTGCTGCTGCAGCAGCTGCTGCTGCCAAAGCAGCAAGAGCTGCAGCATTACCTCTCCCTGTCTCTTTTGTCATGGCAGCAGCTATGTGCCCTCCTTCCTGCTGCTGCTAAACCTTTTGTCTCTTTCATTCCCCTCAAGCAGCAGCAGCAGCAGCAACAGCAGCAGCAGCAGCAGCAGCAACAGAAGCAGGAACAATACAAGAAGCTGCAACTGCAGCAACTGCAGCAGCAGCAACTGCAGCAGCAGCAACAGCAACAGCAGCAGATTGCAGAAACCCTTCCTCTTTGTGGTGCAGACCTATCATGGGAGTCATTGCTGCTGCCTCTGCAGCAACAGTTGCTGCTGCAGCCCCAACAGCAACAGCAACAGCAGCAGCAGCAGCAGCAGCAGCAGCAGCAGGTATCGTTCTCTGTTGCTGCTCTTCATCTACGACGACTTCGTTTTGCTCTTCCTGATCTTCCGCCACAAGAATTTATCCCCGCATTATCTGTCCAGGTCAGCAGCAGCAGCAGCAGCAGCAGCAGCAGCAGCAACAGCAGCAACAGCGGCAGCAGCAGCAGCAACAGCAGGAACAGCAGCAGCAGAAACAGCAACGGTAGCAGCAACAACAGTGGTGGTAGCAAACACGGCTGTCTCTTGTTGCTTTCTCTCTGTTTGTCTATACACATTATCCTTTGTTGTTGTTGCTGCGGCTGTAAATGTATATCGTGTATAGAGGGGCGTCGGGTGTCTGTACACCTCATTAAGAATAAAGGAGAGCAGCAGCAAATAACAATTGCATTTATTCTTTATGTTAATTATATACAAGAAATTGTAATTATTATTTATCCTGCTGCTGCTGTTGCTGCTGCTGCTGCTGCTGCTGCTGCTGCTGTTACTGTTGCTGCTGCTGCTGCTGGCGGTGATGGTGCTGCTGGTGCTGCTGTTGCTGTTGCTACTGCTGTTGTTGTTAATAATGTTGCATATGTTGCTGCTGGTAGCGGTAGAGTTGCTGCTGCAGTTGCTGCTGCTGCTCCTGTTGCTGCTGCTGCTGCTGTTGCTGCTGCTGCTGCTGCTGCTGTTGCTGCTGTTGCTGCAGCAAGAGTATATTTGCTGTTTGTTGTGTTACAGGCATTGGCGTTAATTCCTTCAACAGCAGCAAATCAAAAAATTCTCAATAAATGCAACACCGTCATACTCAGGTTAGGGTTTAGGGTTTAGGGTTTGAGGAGCTAGGGTTTAGGGTTTAGGGTTCGGTTGTCTTGTTTTTTTTGTTGGGATTTTGTATGTCCTTCCCTTTGCTTTCCTTAGCACAAACCCTAAACCCTAAACCCTAAACCCTAATTTTGTTGTTTGCTGCTGCAGCGAGGGTTTACGTTTTGCCCCTCAGCCTCCTCTTTGTCGTCCCTTGGGTACCTCGCAGACAAAGCAGCTAGCAGCAGCAGAGACAGCAGCAGCAGCAGCAGCAGCAGCAGATGCTGCTGCTGATGCTATAGCTCAAGCAGGAGGTGTTGTACTTTGGTGTGGTCACAGCAGCAACAGCAGCAGCAGCAGCAGCAGCAGCAGCAGCAGCAGCAGCAGCAACAGCAGCAAATGGGAACCCCCTGATGGCATTTATCCTTGGTGTCTGCTTCCTGCTCTTAGTCGCTGCACTTCTGCTGCTCCCCTTGAGCCCGGCAACGCAGCAGCAGCAGCAACCGCAGCAGCAACCGCAGCAGCAGCAGCAACCGCAGCAGCAGCAGCATGGCCAACTGAGGACGACACTGGCAGGGCTATAAAGAAGCAGCGTGCAGCAGCAGATGCAGCAGCAACAGGTACAGCAGCAGCAAAAGCAGCAGCAGCAGCAAAAGCAGCAGCAGCAGCAGATGCAGCAGCAGCAACAGAAAGTTTAGGGATATATGAAGCAGCAGCAGTAATGGGTGTTGCTGATACATCTGCTGCTGCAGTTGTATCTGCTGCTGCTGCTGCTGCAGCAACAGCAGCAGCTGCTGCTGCTGCCTTACCATCTCTTGAGCTATGCAGCCGCAGCAGCAAAACCCCTTTCCGTGGTTCTTCCTATCTCTCCCTCCGCAGCAGCAGCAGCAGCAGCAGCAGCAACAGCAGCAGCAGCAGCAGCAGCAGCAGCATCCGCTGGGGACGGAGGCAGACTACTCGTCATAACTTGCAAAGATTTGCAGCAAAAATTCGTGCTGATGGTACGCATGCAAGAAATGAATAAATAAATAAATAAATAAATAAAATAAATGAATAAATAAATTATTTTATTTATTTATTTATTTATTTATTTATTTATTTAAATTAATTAAATAAAATTAATTGAGGGGGGAAAGGAATAAAGAAGAAAAAAAAAAAAAGAATTAAAAAAGAATTAATTAATTATATAATTAATAAATAGCAATAAATAAATACTATTTATTAATAAATAAACCCTAAACCCTAAACCCTAAACCCTAAACCCTAAGGGTTTAGGGTTTACCC